CCCCGCCCCTTGCCGCCCGCCCGCCAGCCCGCAGCACCTCCTCCCGGGTGAAGGTCGGGGCGTTGTCGTTCACGTCGTCCAGGTAGATGAGGGCGGAGGCTGTGGCTGTGAGGCCGTCTCCTGACATGTCTGCCACCTGCAGGGTCAGGTTGTACACAGCGACCACCTGGGGGCACGAGACGGCTGCTGGTTCCTGAGCGCCCCAGGGGCTCTCAACAGTGCCAGCTTGAGGGGCTGGGCAGGGAGAGGTGCCACCAAGCCCCTCTCTCTCTGCGGTGCCTGAAACCCACCCCTTGCCCCCGTGGGCATTCCGCTGACCGGCAGTGCTGGGCTGGAGCTGGGCACCGCTGGGCTGCGCTCCTGCCCGGGAGCCGGGCTCAGTCAGTCCCCCGGTGGCCGGGGCACCCAGGAGGGCTTCCTGGAGGCGCCAGCCTACATGGGGCACGGGGTCCCCACAGAACAGAGTGGGCTGAGACGGACAGAGGCAGTGCTGAGAGTGGAGTGGGGAGCTCTTGGTGGGGGGCCCTGCCCCGGCCTGGGGCGCCAGGACAAAGCAAGCTGCTTTCAGGGCTTCCACCCCACCGGGGGGCAGCAGGGAGCTGGGTGGGGGCGGGAGCCCCTGGGGCACACCTCGCGGTCCAGCCCCACTTGGACGGTGCGGATCTCGCCAGAGAGCTCGTCGATGCTGAAGAGTGGGGGCCCGCCCTGCTCCAGGATGGAGTACCGCAGGGCCGCGTTGTCTGTCTCGGGGTCATCGGCATCCGTGGCCTCGGCCCTGGTCACGTAGGTGCCTAGGAGGAACACCTGGAGGTGAGGCCGCGCGCCCCGAGCGCCTGGCCCAGACCTCCACTGCGCCGGTGCACCCTGACGCCCACGCGTCTTCCAGGGCTGTCTGTGTGAGGGGCGGGAGTGTCCAGTCCACCCACGGGATCCGGAGCTGACCCAGCGCCTCCTGCAGGCGGGCAAGCAGCTGGGAGGCAGAGGTGGCCGGGGGGCCCGCACGAGGATACCTGGACGTGCTAGGGCAGGAAGCTCAGGTGTGTGACAGGTGAGCCCACAGAGGTGGGCGAGACCTGGGGCCAGCAGTGCAGCTCTGGCAGCTGGACCTCACCCGGGGGCTCCTCGCTGCCTGGGCTGGGCGGGGCCTGCCCCAGAGCCCTGCTGGCTCTGACGGAAGGTGGTGACCCCAGCAGGGTCTGTGCTTAGGGCCAGTGGCCTGCGAGCCGGGGTGCTCTGCCCAGGTGAGGCCGAAAGGTGCTTGCTTCCAGGCAGGAAGCTAGGGCAGGCCTGCAGAAGCCAAGCGCCAGGAAGGCTGCCCCGGGGAGGCCAGGAGGGTCGGAGGCCGTGCCCTCTGAGCGCCCCAGGCCAGGGCGGGACCCCACGCTTGCCAACGGGGCCCACTGTCTGCTCCCAGCCTGTAAAGCGTGTGCAGGCGCTGATGGACACAGTGGCAGTGGAGACCTATGGCCGACTGCCTGACCCGCTGGCCCTGCTAACCACACACTCACGGGGCCGGCTGACCACAGCGGGGACGGCCGGCCGGCTATCCCTGGCCGGGCGCCTGCGAGCGCTGGGCTGGGCTCACCCTGTCGCCACAGACCTGGCGGTCGCCCTGAGGTGCCTGCCCCAGAGGGCAGCCCCGCACAGATGCGGCCCGGGGGCTCCCGACCACGTGTGCAGTCTGCCTGCCCGGGCGGCCAGCCCGGCGCCTCACCGGGAGGGGCGCCCTCCAGCACGCGGCCCGTGAACAGCGGCTGCCGGAACACAGGCCGGTTGTCGTTCTGGTCGACGACCACAATCTCCAGGTCCGTGGGCTCCTCCAGGGTGGACCCTCCCAGGTCCAGCGCAAAGGCCTTGAGCTGGTCAAACAGGGAGGGCTGGCATCGGACGTCCACATCCGGGCCCCCGGCCGCGCCACCCGGCACAAGTGCAG